GAAAGGGAAGACTTTATTAGGTGCTCGGTGTCGTTTTTGCTGATGATTTCACACTTTGAAGGGGCTGTGGAAAGTGAAGACTTTATTAGGTGCTCGGTGTCGTTTTTGCTGATGATTTCACACTTTGAAGGGGCTGTGGAAAGTGAAGACTTTATTAGGTGCTCGGTGTCGTTTTTGCTGATGATTTCACACTTTGAAGGGGCTGTGGAAAGTGAAGACTTTATTAGGTGCTCGGTGTCGTTTTTGCTGATGATTTCACACTTTGAAGGGGCTGTGGAAAGTGAAGACTTTATTAGGTGCTCGGTGTCGTTTTTGCTGATGATTTCACACTTTGAAGGGGCTGTGGAAAGTGAAGACTTTATTAGGTGCTCGGTGTCGTTTTTGCTGATGATTTCACACTTTGAAGGTGCTGTGGAAAGGGAAGACTTTATTAGGTGCTCGGTGTCGTTTTTGCTGATGATTTCACACTTTGAAGGGGCTGTGGAAAGGGAAGACTTTATTAGGTGCTCGGTGTCTTTTTTGTTGATGATTTCACACTTTGAAGGGGCTGTGGAAAGTGAAGACTTTATTAGGTGCTCGGTGTCTTTTTTGTTGATGATTTCACACTTTGAACAGGCTGTGAAAGGGAAGACTTTATTAGGTGCTCGGTGTCTTTTTTTTTGATGATTTCACACTTTGAAGGGGCTGTGGAAAGGGAAGACTTTATTAGGTACCCGGTGTCTTTTTTGCAGATGATTTCACACTTTGAAGGGGCTGTGGAAAGTGAAGACTTTATTAGGTGCTGGGTGTCTTTTTTGCTGATGATTTCACACTTTGAAGGGGCTGTGGAAAGGGAAGACTTTATTAGGTGCTCGGTGTCTTTTTTGCAGATGATTTCACACTTTGAAGGGGCTGTGGAAAGGGAAGACTTTATTAGGTGCTCGGTGTCTTTTTTGTTGATGATTTCACACTTTGAAGGGGCTGTGGAAAGGGAAGACTTTATTAGGTGCTTGTTGTCTTTTTTGTTGATGATTTCACACTTTGAAGGGGCTGTGGAAAGGGAAGACTTTATTAGGTACCCGGTGTCTTTTTTGCAGATGATTTCACACTTTAAAGGGGCTGTGATAAAGGAATGGTTTCTGCATGAAATACTTTTAATAGATTTATTTTGCTAGTTTCTTGCTTCTGGAGGGGCACTGAAATGAATGACTGTAAGGTGCTTTCACCATGGAGGTATATACTGTATGTCTCCATGCTTTCACTAAATGTGCCTTCCCACATTTTGAAGGGGCTCTGTTGTAGGAATGACTGTGGACCCATTTATACAACATACCATTATTACATGCCTTGTCAGCACGGAAAAGTTAAGGGGTTGTATTTAAACAAGTTTGGATTCGGTGTGAACCATCTAGAAAAGATGCAAATTGAGTAATCGCCAAATTTGGATGGTTCGTGACCATGGCTATGCCTACTTGTTTCCCCAGGCTACAACGAGCGGTAATTAATCAATTCAACAGGTCGCTAATAACAAGATAAATAGAGTTTATTCAGCCGGGTCGTTAAAATATACAAGTATCGCTGGATGTATTTAGAATAATCAACAATTTATAAAATGGTTGCTGGTATCACGATATGTTTGAAATATTTCAGTACTGTACATAATAGGATTTATTTGAATCTTTTTTATTTGACAGTACAGTATTTATCATTTTGTTGGTTTCGATCAACGGTAAACGATCCAATCCTCTTCCAAAACAAACCGTGCAAATTCAGCAGATGTAGGATTGCATTATATGATACTTTTGGTGTGCAACACTTGTAATGCCGTATTGTATAACCGGCGAAGTTTGGAGGCTCGCTTTGGGTAATGAGTATACCTTAAAGGACATAACACCATGATCATGTTTATAGCGTATTGTATAAACACAACCTATGTAGTGTGCTTTTTTCCTGGTTCCTTGCTTCTGTAGGGGCCTTGTAAAGGAAATGAATATGTACAGTAAGATATAGCTCTTTCTGTGCTTGTTTCTCACTATGTAATGGAAAATCATTATTCTGGCTTAGCTTGTCACACTTACTGTGTTTTGAAAATGTTTGCCATACCCTACCAAGAAAGGTTTGAAAAGTAATCAGTACTAGACCACATTCACCTCATAATTGCTAAATGCATTTATTTGGATGTACTGTATACACCAAGTAAGCTCTCAAGATAAAATGTCTACTCACATACTCTACGTATGTTATAATACAGTAAGTCTGTGAATAGTGGCTCTCCCTGGAGAGAGGAGATGGTTGTTTGGCATAATTGAATATATTGAATCAAGTCAATGCAGTTTAAACTGCACACTGTAAGGACTTGAGCTTTGCAGGCATTGTACATTATATGAATTGCTGTAATAAATATACCTTTTGGGAATGTTATGACTCCATTGACTTTAGATTAAGGAAACACTGGTTTTTAAAGATTTTAATATAATTTCTTCATTATTTGTTAATTTTCATATGACACTTAATACAGTAATTGTTCAAAATTAGTGGACTGAAAATAGTATTTGATTAAAAATTGTAAATATACCGATTGATTTTTTTTTCATAAGAAGTCACAGTGAACAGTGATATGAAAATATCCCTTGTAAATTGTAAAAATTATCCTTCAAGTTTGTAAATATAGTATTTCTTCATTCCAGAGGATTTTTGAATAAATGAATGAATTTTAAAAAATGGTTTGTAAATTGTTGAACACACTTAGAATACTGCTAAAGATTTTCTTGAAAAATTTAAATACAGTATAATACTGTATCTTCATGGCATTGTTTATCATTAAGAACTATTTTTACAGGATTTGATAAAACTCTGTACTATTACTGACATAAATGGTACGTAATCCAAGTGCTTTTATGTAAAAGAAATTTAGATCAAATGATACAACTACAACAGCTTTATTTGCGTTGTCACACTTTGGCATCATCAGATTTTTACCTGGTTTTTACAATGCATGAAGGCTTTTGCTGAATATTACAAAGTCTGGCTGTGGCGCTTAGTGTTAAACAAACACTTTTATGGCCACTCCTCATTTAAGAAAGGTTAGAAAAAGTCTCTTGATACAGTACATAGAAACAAGACTGTCTAACAAATTGATTGGGAGCAATACAGCACACTAAAATAAATAATTTCAATAAGAGAGTTGAACAATGTTCGTCATAAAACTGTTTGCTCAAAGCTTACAGGTTAGTAACTTTAAATATTTAATATATGTAATACTGAACTCTTTCTTCTTTCTTTCGTATCAGGAACTTTGAAAGAGGATTGGCTATTACCTCAATGGCAGAACGCTTCCCGCAACCGTTTCATAGAAAACCTGTAGATAGTAGCGACTCCGACTCCGTCGAAAACGAACCAATTCCAACTCCTCATCCACATAACAGGTAAACCAATGCTTTTTTAATAAAGCAATACTGTTAATATATATTCTGTGCAATAGGAAACTAGATTAGCAGTGATCAAGATCATGATTTTTTTCCCTTTTTTTTTGTGTACGTATAGACCCTATATGTAAGGGTCTGTGTCGTGCATAGCATTGTGTGTACAGGTGGGTGATGATGTATAAAATAATGGCACTCCATGTACGTAAGAGTATGTGTATGTGATTGTATTATAATGCTGTGTATGATTGTTTGTTATGTGATGACATTTTTGTATGTTGCGCAATAAATAGTGTAAGTATGTGATGCTGTTGTGATGAGATGCTGGATGTACAGTATGTGATGTTGAGTGTTTGTGATACTCTGTATGTATTTCCAATTAAATATTAACAATTGCATGAATAATATACCTTTCCAATATTCTTTGCATAGACCCTTAAATTGGCTTGTAATGCATTTTCAAAGCATTTACATTACAAAAAAAATGTGTTTTTTTTTTATAGAAAACATGTCTTTAATAAGAGTAAAAAGTTTTTATATAGCCTGGTTTCCATAAAATTGCTACACGCTAACGCTGACTCCTTTGACGACGCTGATTCGACGCTGATTGGTCAGTCGAATCAGTGAGCATTCCTGATTGCTTTGGGGACAGCTAATTAGTGCAAGAATTGTGGTGAAAACGCTGTAGCGACTGTGTAGTGATTCTATGGATACCAGGCTTATATTTGTTGTACACTTAACCCTGTCATTGTAAGAACAGTGCCACAACTACTAGTCTACTTCTCTTATATAATTCATATATCTGAATAGTTTTTTTATATCTTTAAATTTTTTAAAAACTATTTTCCTTACAGGTACTCATTTACCTTTAATGTATCTTATCGACGACACCACAACCAAACATCAAACAGTCAGTCTATGAACCCAGCCGACACCCATAGCATGGCTCAAATTGCTCCCAAGTCCGCCAGTCCCTCTGGACACAGCTCTATAAGAACGAGGCTTCCATCAAATGAACGTGGAAAAGGTGCACGTAACTCCCCTGTCAGCAGTCAAACTAAAAGCGATATGAACGCTGTGGAAAAACTCCCAGAGCGTGTCACGTTAATCGTTGACAACACAAGTTTTGTAGTGGACCCCACATTGTTTGTTGCACAACCAAATACTATGCTAGGAAGGTAAGTCCTGTGTTACCTGTATACTATTTTACTTTTCATTGTATTATTATAATATATTTATTTTAAGTAGCCTTTTTAGTTGGCTGATTGAACCCACTTGATTACTGTGTTTATTAATACCTAATATTAACTTTAATCGTTTTTAAATATGTATTTTATATTATAATTATAAATTATAATCAAACAATAAAGAAAACGGTACCGTTTTCTTATTGTTTGATTACTGTTAAGACTAGTATGGCTCACCATATTATTTATAAATTATAGTAACTTATCTTTCATTACATTTATATCTTCCTATATCTATTTATTATTATAAATAATATGCAAGTGTCTTTGCATTGAGCCACCTGTCTTGCCAACATCATCTATTCAACCATCCATCAGTCTATTGTACATCCATCCTGCATCCCTAAATATCATAGTCCGTCCTTCATTCTTATTCCATCCACTATCATATATTCATTTAGAAATTAACCCATCTATTTATAGTAAAGCCATCATCCCCTATTTGTTCATCTGTCCATTCATGCAGCATGCATCCATTTATTTATCCATCTATCATGCCATCTATTATCTATTCATCCATTTATCTATTCCTCTGTTCATCCATGTACCTGTCCATTTTTACAGTACAGTTATTCACATTAGGCTATCTCACTGTAAATCTATCTTCTGATAGCGTGATGGTTATTTTAAAGATTTTGAGTCATTCCTTTCGAAACAGTAAGTCATTGTCAATAAAGAGCGAAAATTATTTCTGTAATTTTTACTGCATTGTTTCAAGTAAGAGTTTTTAGCAAGCAGTATTGCATGTTTTGTCTTCTCTGCACAGAATGTTTAGCCAGAATCATAACTTCAACAGGCCTAATGACAAAGGAGAGTATGAGGTAGCAGACGGAATGCCTGCGGAACTGTTCTCAGCCATTCTTGTAAGTCATTTCAAGAGAGTACCTTAGCTCAGATGGATAAGCTGATGGTAGCCACTATACGTATACTGAAGATATATTTCGACCTTTGGTCTCTGGTACAATTCCATCCACTTGTGTTTCAGCTGGAGGGCTGAAAAATAAGTTAAAACAATGCACCATATTTTGGAAGAGAATTTGAGCCTTTCATTATGTGTGCAGTATGATCTATGTATTCATTTTTAAAAAGTATCACATTCTTCAGAGAGGAGCAGGTGGTTGACTTCTGGTACACTGCCCAATTTACCACTGGGAAGACTGCACTGAAAATAATTTTTTGGACTTTTTGTTGATTATCCTCGCTGTGTTTCACAATCAAATAGTGATCCAAACTAGAAAAATGGCTCCTTTCACATTTTACTATCACTATTGTTCAGCATATTCACAATGCCTTGGTCACCAGCTATGTGGTGGTTCACATGTTGTCTTGTGTTGGACATCCAGTGAATACCTTAGTGTTGGTGTGGCGTTTGGCAATTTATTCAGACATGTTTACAGTATTCTGCCATTTTGCAAGGCATGATAAATTAGTTTGGTTATACTTGAGGCTTGTGGTTAATATTGTTAATGTCAACACTGCATATTCAACGTCATGTTTCTGGTGTTTTTTCTCTTTTTTAGCAATATTACAAGAAAGGTGTCATAAATTGCCCTCCCACAATACCCATCTCTGAGCTCCGAGAGGCTTGTGATTACTTCCTTATTCCTTTCAATGCTTCCACAATCAAGTGTAAGAACCTCAGTAAGTCCACAGTTTATCATTTTTTCAAATTAAAAAAAATGTATTCCGCTTTAGGCACTAGGGCCAAGGTTATGACAAACAGTGAACTTAATCACTCTTAAAAGTGGCAATCCCATCACAAGGAAACATAAACACAAGATGCTACATAGCCTAAGCCTCATTATGAGTGCTTAGGGAGTGGAGTTGTTTTGGTTGTGAGAATAAATCCTGTTACCATGACAGGAATTGTGACAGGAATTGAACCCAGGACCCTGGGATTGGAAATTAAGCATCTTAACTACCAAGCTGTTTAACACCACTTAATTTCCTTATAAAGAAACTTATTTTATAGAGCAGGGTAAATGTTACCGTAAGTGACTGTAATCTTTTATTACTGTCAGTGATAAATAAAGTTTGTCTTTCACAGGAAATCTGCTGCATGAGTTCTCCAATGATGGTGCCAGTCGGGAGTTTGAAACTTTTGTTGAGGAGTATTTACTGCAGCAAATGTTACAGAGTGCACATGTAAGTTGGTCTTTATCTAAGTATCTGTTAATTTAATTTATATTGGATTTATATACTGCATGGTCACTGGATTCAGACAGTTTTAAGTGAAGTCAATACTATCAAATTATATATTGTGCCTATATATGGTCATCATGAGATCAGTACCATACTAAGGCATGTCAGATCTCCATCACTCTCAGGGGAGTATTCCTAATCTTGGGACAAGTAATTTCATGGCTCAGCATGTGTATTGCAAAAATAATAGTATAGCAATATGCTCACACTAATACATCAGTGTTGCACCAAATATCTATTTTAACTTCTTTCCTCTAAGGGGACTTTTAATTAAGTTTATAATGCCTTCTCATCACAACACTCTCTTTTGGCTTACTGTGATAGAGGGCGTCCTTTAAGAGGTTACAGTATGTTATTGTTAATGTTATATTGTATTAAAGGGCTTCAAAAGCTCTGTTAAGACGCAAATTTTCCTTTGACAAAAATAGTACGTATGCCCATATACAGTCATGGTGTGCCTATATATGGTCATGATGTAGTGTATCATGACCATAATAGGCATGTGACATATTTTGTCAATTAAATTTTGAAAGCTTGGACAGGATTTTAAGATCAGATCTCTTAAGTTATACCCCTCACAACATATTGATCAAATATATGTTTTGTATGGTTTCAGCGTGGGGAAAGAGAATGCCACATTGTAATTCTGTTGGATGATGACGTTCTTGAATGGGATGAGCAGTATCCACCACAGATGGGCGAGGAATACACACAAAGTAAGCCAGAAAATTCTTTAATAGTTGGTTTTAGATCTGAGAAAATGAGTAATTCAGTGCAGTTAGACGTCATTGTGAAGCATGTATGCATGATATGCAATAAATCTAAATTTGTTATAAATAATTTTTATTTATTTTTTAGTTATATATAGCACACAGATGTACAGGTTTTTCAAGTACATTGAAAATCGGGAAGTTGCAAAGACTGTGTTGAAAGAGCGTGGTTTGAAGAAGATCAGACTGGGGATAGAAGGCTATCCAACTTATAAGGAGAAGGTCAAACATAGGTCAGGAGGTCGTCCTGAAGGTCAGTCTCCTAAGTATCAAATGATATTGGTTAAAAAAAAAAAAATTGTAAATCTCTATTTGGATTTTAAAACTAAGAATTTTTATATTCCATGGGTGTGCTGCCAGCTTAAGCTAGTGTCTCAACAGGAGTTGGCGATTGCGTGTAGCGATATTTATAGAAACCAAGCTAAGTTGTCTACAGTTGTAAAGCTAATTTCATATTTTGCATTCCTTTCTACAGTAATCTATAATTATGTACAACGACCATTTATCCACATGTCGTGGGAAAAAGAAGAGGCTCGCAGCCGGCACGTAGACTTCCAGTGCGTCAAGAGCAAATCAATCTCAAACCTATCGACCGCCTCGGCTGACCTTCCTATTAACCCAGACCTAGCAAATGCACCAGAGGGGGTGGCGATGCTGTTACCTCCGCCAGCTGATCCAGAGAATCCAGAGGGGGAACAGGAGGCAAGTTGATCAGCCCAGTGCAAATACACTATTCCAAGTGCTAATGATTTTGAAATGCTGCGAGTTTACAGTAGCTAATTCTGAAGATGTTAAATTGCCTTAGTTTACAACATTAATACAACAGTCTCACAACCCGCCATCGCAGTAGATTTTTGCGTATAACTTTACATAAGTCTATACACACTTGATGACAATTAGAATTTGTAAGTGGCTGTTAATTCGTTACATTGAGGTACATGCTAGATAACAATTCAACTTCTGTGTTTTGCTACTGTTGTAGGAGTGATTGAAAAGGAGGTAGAAATGTTTACTCTCAACCTGTAGTGGCCGACAGGGTTTAAACTTTTTTACTGTGCATTTTGCTTGCATCTAAGGCATTTAATTTACATTTGTCTCTTTTGCCAGAGTATAAATGGTTGGATGTTTTAGTATTGGATGTATAGTTCCGATCAGTGGCCTAACAATAAGTCACAGGGCCTGGTGCCCATGCATTTTAGCAGTCAATTACAATTGGTCCCTTCACATTGGAATACAATAACCTGTTATATTAATATAATTCCCCCCCCCCCCATATGCATTACACCACTAGGTGTGATGCAATCCAAAGATTTTATAAACAAAAGATAGCATTCTCCGCGACTTCAGCAAGTTACAAATTCTGTAATAACGTAGTGTATGGCAACCTCTTTAGAACTTTGACCATAGCGTACACCGCGCGACTTTACTTTTACAATTAGAAGCATCGATTTACAGTGCGCCCTCTCTTTACAACAGTTAAGGAACAATTAACATACTTAGTAACATTGGCTTAATACCTTATCTCAGATCCATGGCAACAAATAGGAAGCCTGTTCTCCACGGAAAGATCTTTGTGCAAACCTTACTAGTTGACTGAACAATAAATAGGAAGTTGAGTGGTTAAACATTATGCACATGTGCAAATTATGTGTTCAGGGCTAATAATGCTGCAAGTATTTTCATAATTCCTTCATATGAAATGCGGTATATAAATCCTTAGCTTTTAATACTAATCATAACCTACACTTGCATTTAGATCTGTACATGTTAATGATAGCGTTAGAATCTACTTTGACGGATGGTGAGACAGTCATAATAAAGAACAATGTATGCATGTTTATTCTCAACAATTACTATACCAATTACTATACCAGTTACTATATAGTACCAGTTACTATACCAATTACTATACCAGTTACTATATAGTACTAGTTACTATACCAATTGTATGATTTTAAGGATTGCCTGAATTTTTCTCTTTTTGGTAACAAAAATTTTACCACTGAGGAATAACCAGTGTTTTAGTAGCTTGTCTTTAGGTAAAATTATCAGGAAAATTTAATATAAAATATCAATGTATAATCTATTAATTTTCTTGGATTTGTACCATTCACTTACATTAAGAAAATTTAGTAAAGATTTATATATTTATTTATATTTTAAATCAAAATTGTTTGCAAATAAAGAAGAAAACATCTCATTTAAGAATTCACTTCAAAAGCAAATGTATAAGTGGATAAAATTTTTAAATTTTTATTGTAGATGGAAATTACTTGCTAAGTGAGGAAATTCCTTATACAATATACCCATTGAAATTGGTTGTTATTGAATTTGTGGCATAAAACTGTAAAATCATATTAAATTCTCCATGTACAGTTCTTGTTTTGCAATTTTTGATGCATTAAAACCAAATTATACTTTTTCCCAAACTTGTTAAGTGTAAATATTAAAAAGTAAGTCAATCAACTGTAAGTTAAGAATGTAAAATAACTATATAATTAAGCTCAAAAGTATTTAAGTTTTGCAAGATTTTGGTCTTCAATTTGAATGCTTTTTTTGGACTTTTTTTCAGTTTGTGGATTTAAGATGTCATAGTGAAAGCATAATCTTTTAACCTGTCCTGTTTAAAAAAATACATTATTGATATAAATTTGAAATATAATAATGGTATAGGACAAACAATTGGGAAAAAGTGTTGTGGATCTTGGTATTGATACTGAACTTACTTGTCACCAACAATCAATACTTGTTCCGAGACTTATGGTAGAGTTATGAATGCTTAGCTTGTCTCTGTAAGTTCAGTGCTTTGTGTCCCTATTCAAGCATACCTGAATGTTTTGAATTTTAAATGATTCTCAACCATTGTAAGTCGTTCTTGGTTACCATTGGCGTAAATGGTACTTGGTTGGTGCCATTTGAGAAATGGTATTTGGTACCATAGGTGCAAATTTTACACTCTGCTATTCATATAAATATTAATTGGTTCCATTGGTGTAAATGGTATTTGGTGCAGATGGAGGTAATTGGTACCATAGATAATAAATTGTATATGGTGACAATCCATATCCATCTATGAATTATCCCTTGGGAAATTTTGTGCTGACAAAATTTATGACAGGATGAAATGCAGATAAAGCCAAAAAAATATTATGTACACCCTAAATTACTGTCGGTTGTAAATTCATTCATTCTTTCTGGTGTTGGGTTAGCGAATTAGGTTTTTTTGCAAATCGTAATCAGATAGAATTGTTAAAAAATGAATAGGCTAATACAATTTCACTACAAATTACTAATATGAAAGATTAAGATGAAGTATTTATTAGCAAATTCATTACTGCAATTTAAAAAAAATAATAACCAAAAATTGTTCATAGAACTCCCTAAGATATGCATCATGCAATAGAATAGGAATAAGTCTGAAACCATAACAATGCTTTTGCTGGTGTTTCTTTTTATTTTTATTATTATTATTATTATTATTGTTATTATTATTATAGGTATGGTATACAATTTTACAACGTTGCAAATATGGTCGATAATAATTAATTGATTCATAAAAAAAAATAAAAAAATTATAGAGTTGTTAGTTATTAAGAATACTGTGGTAGTAATGCCATTTCTACAGCTAAGATTTTGAAAATTTTGAGTATTCAAATTTTTGCATATATCCAATTGAATGCTGTTTTGTCAATAACAACTCAGAAATATTGTTTTTAAGTTATATAAAATCAAAGAACATATTTATTTTGAACTTTGGATTTAAAATTAAATTTCCATCTGGTCATGTGATGATTTAATTGTTAGCCTGAATTTATCCTGTATCATGCCTGTATCCTGTATAATAGAGCTTATACAGTACTCATTTATATCTAGGCTTGCATGATATTAAGTATGAGCTAATATTAATCCTGATATTTGCTGCAAAATTAAACATCCTGGACCTGCTATCCTGTAATACACAGCTTATCGCCAAGTACATCAAGAGTTATTGCATAATAGCTTAAGATACGCCGACATTAATCCTGATACCTGTTGAAAATTTGAACATTCTCAGCTATAAATATAATAATTGGCTCTTGATGCAGTAGCACCCAGACACGTCATCTGACAGTCAGATTATTGTGTTCAGTTGGTATCCTCATATTAACAGAGAATAATGTGAGAGATTAATAAATCATATGGCCTACTAAAGCTTGCTTTCCATACAATCGCTATGCGCTACCGCCGACAGCTTTCGGTGATGCTGATTGTTCGGCCAAATTGGGGAGGGGTACGTCGGGGACTGCTACGCATTACATCGATTGCACTGAAAAGACTGTAGGGACATTGTAGCGATTTTAAGGAATCCAGGCTTAATAGTATTGTATGGACTTTTTTCTTCAACATCACGAACATTATCTGCCACCATTCATTGATACTTTTGGAATGCGAAATATGTTTTTAATTATTCAGTCCTAAAATATCAATATCCTAATGCAATATAGTGTTTAACAATGTAAGCTCGGTTTCTATACGCTTTCGATTTCTGCGAATAAATTCGCCTAGTGGAAAACAGGAAACCAGGCTTAAATGAAGTAATTTGAGTTGGTTAATTTTGGGTAGGTCGTATATAAGTATGGGTTACATTGATCTGAAGTTGAAATGACAGTCGTCGTTTTTTTTTTTTTTTTTTGTCTTTTTTTTAAACGGCATGTCAATAAATCATATTAAGTTTATTTCAAATGTAAATTTCTGCTCCTCGTCTCTTATTTTTGCTAAATATGGCAAGTGTTACTATCGGTGCTACAAGGATTTCGAGACTTGGGTCTGTTGCTCAACCACAGACACTATGCCCCAACTAACCGATCTTTCACACTTTCAGTCACCATTATCCATATGTCAGCTAATAAAGTGGCTTTTTTGAGGTGTAAATTTAATAACAATGTCTATAATTGGGATTAGAGTCATGCAAACTGTCGGCACGCAGCAGTACGAATTACCGCTCGCATAAAGTAATTCCGCCTGTGCTATTTTAGGTGACATGTTTAATTTCAAAATGTATTCGCCTCATTCCCGACCAATAGCGACTGTGGTTGGTATAGACTTTATCCTCCATTAAAATTAAATCCTGTATCCGTCCTTGAATCATCAAGTATGCATTTCATTGGAGACGTTTGCAAAGCGACCTTGTCTGTAGGCCTACTGTATTGTTGAATGGGGCAAAATCGTATGCTTCACAACGCTGGAAAATGTAAATAAAGGTCATGAAAACAACTCGTTCAATATAATTTATAAGCATATCTCCACAGTGTACTGATACAAATATTTTTAAAATTCAAATTGATTTTTTTAATTCATTATAAAATGCATTAGACTTTTGGCTTTTATTAAATGTTGCTTGAAAAACCTCTGATTAATTATTTATTATTAATTTTTCAATATTGTTTACTTTTCGATCAATCTTTGAGCCCCGCTTGTTTCTTAGCTACCTGTAATCTCTTAGGCTCAGTACACACTAGCAAATTTTATTTTACAAATTTGTGATGATGTGCCCATGCGCATGATGATGTCATATTACACCCAAATATGAGCATATCACATTTATTGTCTGAACAGAGCCTTATGTTTGTGTAAGTATTGTAGACGTCTGATTCTTTTGTTATTTTTAAAGTATATATACATTATATATACATATATAATACATATATTATATGACGATCGAATTAAGTTTGCTACGTAACACCGTAAACAGAATATAAACACAGATAAATAATAACAACAGTGCAATGTATAGTAACAGAGCACTCTTATTATTTATCTGTTTGTTTACATACATGTATGCATATATATACCTGTCTCTTATACACATCTAGATGTGTATAAGAGACAGACTTTGGATTTAAAATTAAATTTCCATCTGGTCATGTGATGATTTAATTGTTAGCCTGAATTTATCCTGTATCATGCCTGTATCCTGTATAATAGAGCTTATACAGTACTCATTTAACTTGTGCAAAAAAGATCGTAGATGCGTTCTGGATTTATATGATTAAGCTCGCCGAACTCAAAAGAGACGGGACTAAAATTTATGTTAATATCATAAAGATTGACTGATGCAGATTCATCTATCCAGGTTGACAATTATAAATAAAAATTAAAACTTTATATCTCATATATATCTCTTTATATATCATTGTGAACAAAACTACAGTGATAGTCAAAAGCTTCAAAGGTAAGTTTTCTTCCAGAGATATA